CATCCGCTGGTTTCCTCTTTCTGGCGCAAAGTGGGCGATAAACAAACAAGAGAGACGATCAGCTGATCATTGATCAGTTTCATGATTGAATGAGAGGAGAAGAAGCAGCTGCAGCATAAAGACAGAATAAATCCAGCTTTGTGTCTTTTTTCATTGTAGCTGAAGTTCGGGACAAACTGTTCCTTTTCACCTCAACACGAAACGCGTAATAATTTCTCTGAATACGAGACGATTCCGTGTTTTAGGGGACGGTAGGCAACTCTACTAACTAACCTTATGAATAAAATAAACTTCACTATCAGTAACATCATAGCACCCACCCAGCTGTAGAAACTCCGTCATGCTAGCTAGTACGCAGTACGAGTTATTGTAACTGACGGTAAAAAGTCAGCATAAGGAAAATAAACTCCACCTAAACTTGGTTTATATCTGACCCAGATAGACTGCAGGTCAGAACTTCTTACCTGAAGTTCAGTTCACCGCCTCAGGTCTCTGCTTCTCCTGCCTCCCCTTCCCTCATCCACCTGGCCTCTTGTGGCAGCTCCACCATAGCCACCACCAAACAACTGAGTTATTTTTACACATCTGCCAGCATCTGACCAATCCACCACCTTTCATTGTTTATACTGTTATAAAATAAATTATTAAAAAAAATCATCGGCCCATAAAAATAAAAAAATCACCATTGGCCCATCGGGCAAATGCCCAATGGCCAGTCCAGCTATGCCGCTGTGATGTCACTCAGTACTTCAAGTCAAGTTTTGAAGCACGGATGTGAATATTCTGGCCGATGCCGCCTTGGTGCTTTGAGGCTGGCTGTGGAACGACACCCTCGTCACCTGCAGTCACCAATCAGTGAGCGTATGCTGGGTAATCTTCCAATGAGCAACATTTGTACAGATGACCTTTATTTTCATTCACTGTGACCCGACATGAGTGACTGAGCCCAGAAACTGATCAGCAGTGTTACTGAGGTCAGGCTGATTCAATAATGGGTCACACTGTTCGCCTGCGGGGCGGGGCGGGGCGGGCGAGACGGCAAGGTGAATCTGTGATGACACCAGAGTCCTTTTACCATCATGTCAAACAGACCTCCCTCCTCCTCTCCGATCACACAAAGAGCTCCTTTTTCCCGTCGCACCGAACATTTAAATAATGATTTGACAAGTGATGAGGAGGGGGTGAAAGGAGTGTGGTAATGGAGGTGGGTGGGGGCTGGTGGTGCTTCTCCCGGGCGCTGAGCCAGCCCGTCGGAGATCCAGAGTTCATCTCCACCATTAAAACTCCATTTAGGAGACCGAGGACTCGTTTATCACGCCCCCCTGAAAGCTCACACCTCCACGCTCAGACCAAACACACACTGGACACTTTATTAGGTACACCTGTGTCTTTCACGGATCAGGTTCAACAAGCTGCTGGAAACGTTCCTCCATGTTGACATGACATCATCATGATATCATCACACAACCGCCTCATCCATGATGGGAATCTGCTGCCCCTCCACATCCCAAAGCTGCTCTGAGATCTGTGACAGTGGAGCTGTGCGCTCAGAGAAGCTCTTTTGCAGACCTTCCTTGTAAAACGTACTTATTTGACTTCCTGTTTCCTTCTTATCGGATGCTCAGTTCGCGGCGGAGGACTCATCTCTCCTGGTGTCCTGCAAGCAAACAATCATATTTTTTGGAACATGAACTTAATTGCTTTCTTAAAACATTTTTTCTGCATTTGGTATAAAACAGACTCCAATTTACACAATCTCAGGCTCCCTCCCCACCGGAGAGGTGACATTCAACCTCCCAGCCACTCAACACACAATAATGTAATGAAAGCATCATTTTAAAAAGGGCTATGCAAACATGGCCAATAACTTTCATTCTAATGATGTGCAAAATGATTTGGGCACAAAACAGATTTTGCCGTTAGAAAACTTGCAGACTTCACTATATACAGTGTAGACCCTCTAAACTAAGTTTGGGGGATGTGATCTTTCAAGAAATGCAAACTGTTGTTGTTTGTTTACTTACACAGAATGTCTTGTAGAATTAACTGGAGTCACCAGCAACAGCATAGTGCAGTCATATCTCAGGTCTAATAACAGAAGACAGGAAAAGATCAGAAACAACTTCCCCAAACCAAAGCACAAATAAAACAATAAGTAAAACAGGCTGATCTAAAGTATGATTAAAGTTCAGCCTGATTAATATAAATGTCACTGACAGTTGCTAATATATTGGAAAACCAAAATACTTACTGATGTCTTTCTGTCCAACAGCAGGAGTGCTGGTCCCGATCGTCAAAGACAGTAAGAAGCAAGCAGAGGGAGAAAAAGCAGAACATTTTTCAGAAACTGATTTGATCCTTAATGGGTCACAGATGTTCAAAAGCTGCCACAAAGCATGAAAAAAATGGACGTCTCCGAAAACGTCAGAGCATTTTTGCAAATATGTGATGTCTTGATAAATCGAGCAGATATTTGAACTTTACACAGCTACATTCTCGCCTGAAAATATCTTAAACGTTTATTTTGTGACCCAGAAAAAGTAATAAGTTTTTAGCCGCGCTCCTCCGCCATTGCCGCGCTTACACAGGCTCTGACCATCGGCAACAAGTGGAACCGCCTCTTTTCGCTGAGCCCAGCGGCAGCAGCAACGCTAGGCTAACACTAACTAGCTAGCAAGATTATAAACCTGGTGCTAAACTAAGAGAAGCCACAAAGTTTGAATAAGAGTAAACATTTACTCACCAAGTCAGTGTATCAGGTAAAGATGCACAGCAATGAAAACAATAATATCTTGAGCTGACGCTTCTCCAGGTTTGCTCAACATATTCCATAACAAATGCTGGCACCGTGAACATGCGGACTGATCCGAGAGGGAGGAGGACGGTAGTGACGTGGCATTTTCAAAACACATCTTTCATCCTTCCGCCCTGAGAAGCAAAACTTCCAGCTTACAACTCAAATAAATTGAGTTTATCAGCGTTTTTGGCTTGAAAAGTACTGGTAACTTATTTAAATCAAGTTCTAATAACAAATTGATAAAAACTGAGTTCAGCCTATTTAATATTTTTAATTAAACACAATATTACATTTTACAGTGTGATTCACCTGAATTCAAGCACACCTTCTCCCCCTCCTCCTCCCTGCCTCTGCTGCGGAGGGGGGAGGAGGGGGAGCAGGTAGGGAGGGCGGGGAGGGAACTGCGCCTGCGCCCTGTCTCTCCATTCCCTCCGCATCGCCCCCACCCCTCTCCTCCCTCCCTGCCTCCCTCCTCTCTCTTTTCTGCAGCATCAGTACCACCTCCCCCGTGCCTCCTCCCCCTCTCTCTCTCGCTCGGTTTTCCTGCCGGGCTGCTGCTTTGCGCGCTGCGGGGCCACACTGCGACCACACCGAGGAGGAAGAAGAGAAAGCCGCGGACCGACGGGGGGGCCAGCCGAGCCAGAGCGGCGGACATTAAAAAAAAAAAACGAATAAGAAGAAGGACGCGGGAGGAAGAAGGAGGCGCGGACAGCGAGCCCGAGGAGCAGAAGCAGAAGGCGGAGACGCGTTCCTCCCTCCATCTCTGCCTCCGTGAAGAAGAGCCGAGAGGAGCAGCAGCAGGAGGACCGCGAGGACCTCGCAGCGGAGAAAACGACGAACGACGCGGAGCCGGAAGCCTCCCCCCCTCCCCCCTGGACCAGGGACGATTCTCCGTTTGTAGCAGCGGCGCGGCGACACGATGAAGGACCGCACGGCGGAACTGCGAAGCGTAAGCTCTCCTCCTCCTCCTCCGTCTCCTCTTCCCTGTCGGCCTCCATCATGTTCGCACATCCTCCTCCTGCGGCCTCCGGAGGAGCGGGGGGAGGGGGGAGGGGGTCTGTGGCTCTGCGGAGCTTCATGCTGTGAATACAGAGCGCGAGGACGGACCGTTACTGTCGGCTTGAGCGCGTGCTCCGTGCGCGTGCGTGAGTGGAGGTCACGGCTGCGGCCGGACACTTTCCCGCTTTTTTTATTTCTGCTGTTTTTTGGGGTTTTGTGGCGCTAACATCAAAGGCCGCCGCAGAGCCCCCCCGTGCATGATGGGAAAACGGCTTCAACACGCGCCCATCCGCGCGCATTCAGGCCGCGCGTGCCTGTGTGACCTGATGGGGGGAAGGGGGGGACCAAAATGCAGAGATTTTTTTTTCCAGGCCGCATCCAGGAGCTGCGCGCGCCTCGTCCCTGACGGAGCCGCGTGAGTGTGGGGGCACCGTCAGAAGGGAGGGATCCGGGGTGGGGGTGGGGGGGTCACGGTCCTGTGCGGCTTTGACGCGCCTGCGGAATGCGGC